TTCGGGTCAATTTATTCTTTATTATATTTCATCCAAGTTTTTCTTCTTTACATCTTGCGGAACAACGCTCATTCAAGAATTTTAGCCAGATTAACTAGCTACAAATTTTAAGGATATGACTGTCAAATATTGTTGATGTTTAGACATAGGCAGTGTCAATGTAGATTAATCCGCTTTATGGACCCAACATAGCCAGGTGCTTAGGGCACTCGACTCACAACCTGCGGGTCGTGGGTTCGAATTCCCGTCCCATCAAACAAACATGCTCGCCTTTTCAGCCGTGGAGGCGTCATAATGTAACGGTCAATCCCACTATTCGTAGGTAAAATAGTAGCCCACGAGTTGGCGGTGGATGGTGATGACTAGCTGCCTTCCCTCTAGCCTTACACTGCTAAATCAGTGAGTGAATAGTGTCAGTATCTGGTTTTGAGTTGATACCTTGTATTCTTATTCTTAATGTCGGTTGTTGAACTAAAGTTCTTACTATGTTTGTTTGTTTGTTTTTGAATTTCGCGCAAAGCTACACGAGGGCTATCTGCGCTAGCCGTCCCTAATTTTGCAGTGTAAGACTGGAGGGAAGGCAGCTAGTTATCACCACCCACCGCCAACTCTTGGGCTACTCTTTTTACCAACGAATAGTGGGATTGACCGTCATATTATAACACCCCCACGGCTGAAAGAGCGACCATGTTTGGTGTGACGGGGACTCGAACCCACGACCCTCAGATTGCGAGTCGAGCGCCCTAACCACGTGGCCATGCCAGGCTTAGAAATGGGGAGTTATAAACAAGGACCATTAGCGAAATATCATTCGGTTACTCGTTGGAGTGCTCATGCAAACGTGTGCAATGCTTTGTTTCAATCTTTCATCAATGTAGTTTCTGCATTCAATTCCATTAGCGAAAACGAAGAAGAGAAACCATCAGGCAGAAATGAAGCCGAAGGATTGAAAGGAAACTTAGAAACACTTGAAATTGTGTTAATGGTCAGTACTCGGACTCCAGTTTTGAAAATGTTTTAATGGACACATAAAAAAAACTGCAATCAGTTGATACTGAAGTAAATATGGTAATTAAGTTGTGTAGGTCATTAGAAAATTATGCTGCATCTTTCCAACACAATAAAGATTCCTTTGAGGAAGCTACATGATTATACTGAATACGCAAGCTAATTAATTATACTGAATATTCGAAAGATACGGAATTAAGAGGAAAACAACAGTTCAAGGTCGAGACATTCTTAGTGATTATTGACAACCGAATTTCCCAGATAAGAAAAAAGACGAGAGGCATATAGAAAGATACATGACATATCTGGCTGTGTCATAAATTTGTGGGAAAGTAGCTTTCGGCCCGGCATAGCCAGGTGGTTAAGGCACTCGACTCGCAATCTGAGGGTCGCAGGTTCGAATCCCCGTCCCACCAAA